CTCAAAAATTATTTCTGTCCTTCTACCATCTACTGACCCATGCCAAAATATGTACAATACTACTAGAAGAAAGAGCTGTCATCAGCAGATATTTTGGATAGCACCATGAGAAACCCACACAAGAATACAATTAATAGAAACTCTACCCCATTGAAAGCCCTTTTTCAAATCTTCTTTGGTGTCATGAGCTGTTTCAAATTATTTGTTCCTTTCTTCCCCTTCGTTAGTGTAGATCATTGTGGTTAACTATGTTTTATGATGAAACAAACAAACTGCTCTTCAGCAATCTGGATCTTTTCATCTTAGTCCAGTGGCACACAAATATTCTATGAGATAATGTAAATTCTTTCCTTCTCAAAAAAAAAATCTCAGTTCCCATTTTTAGTGTAATTTCATTCCTGTAAAGTTACTTATAGGGAAAAAGAAACCACCTCCTAGTGAGGAGATACTCTGGGAAAAGGAAGACTCTGGAGAGCTTGTTCCTGTGAGTTATGTAAATTACAAAATTTTACCAATTTATATTTTGAGTTAAAACTGGAAGAGACCATAAGTTCTTCTAATTATAAATATATAAAAGAAAATCAGGTCCTCTGTGTCTAAGAAAACATGAAGTGAACATTAAGTTTCGCCTTTAAAATGAGAGCAAAATCTATTTTAAAATTTACCAACGAAACATTTACTCAGTGACTAAAAGAACATCAATGTGCATGAAGAAATTGAATCTGGAATATGTAATTGTGTTTTTAATGTTCTTCTTTATGTCTTTCTCTAATTTTAAATATTTATTTATTAAGTATCCAGTATGACTTTGATAATAAAAATTTATAGGCTTTATGTTGCCCAAAAACCAGCTCAGGGCCAGGTGTGGGATACTTCCCCTGGTGTTGCTGGTCAGGGGTGTCCTAGAGATTCCCAAACCAATACAGACTATTGCCACTACCCTTTAGTTGCTCACCAGAACCTGAGGGTAAGTCACTATTGCTTAAGACACCACGCACACTTTGATCCCAAGACACAGAGACATCAAGTTGGTACTGATCAGGAAGCCTCCTCCCTGCTGGCTAGCTTTCAAAGTACTGGAAAGAGCTATGTAGGTTTCTGGGGCTGAGTGGAGCCATCAACAAACTTACCCAGCTATCAACCCTGTGAGCCACAATGGCAATCACTGTGGCAAGACACGCCCATGGGTGCAATAGTGGCACAAATATTATGGGGGAGGGGTCACAATTGTTCAAAGGATAAAGGCTAGGTATCAGTGGAGTGCTCAGTCACACATTGGTTATCTATATCACCCCATCCTTCAAAGCTCAGGGACCACTGAGGAAGACAGAGCGGAAAGAATGTAAAATCCAGAGGTTGTGCAAGACTGGACTGAAACAGTGTCTTCTGGACATGATAGGACCTCTGTGCTCATGAACTCACAGCAGCTGTAGTTGCCTATACAAGGTCAAGCCAGCATGGAGTGATGAGGGGTTCATGAGCCCTCACCCTAACTAAGGAGCTACTGACAGCTGATGGCTTCTGCAGGAGGGGTAAAGTCAGTTTTCTTTAACGGTTGAGCCCTCACCCTAACTAAGGAGCTACTGACAGCTGATGGCTTCTGCAGGAAGCCCCTGGTAAGTGAATCATGTTCCAGTGGCCCCTGGTAAGTGAATCATGTTCCAGTGGATGGCCACACACCCATGAGTATACGGGTAACACAAATTGGGCTGAGTGGGTTATCTAAAGATACAAAGTTGGGAGGGGTGGTGAGGTGGGAATGGATCTGAGAGGAGTTAGCAGAAGAAGTGGGGTTTAAATGTGATCAAAATACTTTGTAAGAAATTATTAAAGAACATATTATATTAAAAATTATAGACTCAAATGCAATCAGTGCAAATAAACTCAAAATGAACAATGCATTCATATTGCAAAAGCTCCACTACTAAACCATCAAATTGAAAACCTCAAAACCAATGCTTCTATTTTGTCAAACCCCTAGTGCCACAAATCCTTCCAAATCATGTTTACCATGAACACTCAGGTTTACAGAATGATATGCATGCTTAGATATTCACAAGAATATTCTGTCTCGGGCCAGGTGTGGTGGCAAATGCCTTTAATTCTAGCACTTTGGAGGCAGAGGCAGGTGGATCTCTGTGAGTTCAAGGCTAGCCTGGTCTACATAGTGAGTTCCAGGCCAGCTAAGGCTACAAGGAGACCCTGTCTCAAAAAGACCACAAGGAAAAAAAGAGAATATTCTGTTTCTAACTTTGGATCATTTTAATGTCTGCATCAGAAATGACCAATTAATAAACTCACCAATTAGTATTCTATTTTAGATTCACTAGTGAGACTGATCATAGATATTGAGACTAGAGGAGACTACAAATGGAGAAATTTGATTTGAACAGTATTAAAGGTGCAGGAACACATGAGACAAATACAGGTAGCTTGAGTTGCATAGCTTGGCAGCTATATAACATACCAAGTTGGTCGATCAGTTAAGACTTTGCATGCCATGCTAGACGATGATGAGCTTGTCAGAAGTTCTTGTTGCCTCATTTATGCATTAACCCTTAACACACTCTGAAATGTCTGATCCCAATGATTCCAAGTTTCCAAATAGCAGAGAAAACTTTTACTTTGGATTCCTGTATATTATAAATACTTTGAAACTCATCAGTGGAGGAATCCATTCAATATAACCTTCTACCTAAATGTTCAGTCTTTCTCATTTCCCTCCAGTTCATTCTGTCTATTTCAAAAACCAAAGTAATCTTTTATTATTTGTGTGTACATGTGTTCGTGTACGTGTACTGTATGCATTCATATGGAGGCCAGAAGTTGACATCAAGTGTCTTCCTTAGACACTCTCCATTTTAGTTTTTGAGGCAAGGTCTCTCACTGAAACTGTAACTTGTCAATTTAGATAGACCAGCTAGCAGCAAGTTCAAGGAATCTTCCTAGGGTTACTGTGTATCTCACCCAGATATTATGTGGGTGCTGGGGATTTGAACTCAGGTCTTCATGCTTGTACAGTGATCCAGTTCTCTGGCCCAAAGCTGTCTCTCTTAAATATTTTGTCAGGTCACTCTTCCCTTCTGCAAACTTCTCTTGGCAGCCTCTTTTTGAGGGATAAAGCTGAAATCCCTTACACTGACACACAACCCCCTTCATAACTCTATTGTCACTCTTTTCTCTGTGGTGCCCTGAAGTATTTATGGTTCCTAACCACATTATAGACTTAGGTCACTGTGACATTATTTATTCTGCTATCTCTCAAGCTTGTTCTTCAAAGGCAGGTGAATTCCCCTCCTTTCTCAGCCACTAACCAACTTTAGCATTAATTATTCTCATTCCTGAGCTATCACAACCCAATATCTCTTTTATAACTCATACCATTGACTCATAGTTATCTTCATAAGCACCTATTTTTCACATAATACTGAAAATAAGCACAAGGTGCCAATCACACATTATTATGCCATTCCCCATGCTTAGCATAAGAGCCTTGAGATTTCATAGTAGATCTAAAATTACTTATTAATGGGATGAAAAAAATTAATGATCAGTGAGCACCACTTTGGTGGGAGGCTTTAAAAAAATTATTCTAGAAACTTCTGCTGCACCAAAGACAACAGGACCAGGGGAGGTATTTCAGGGATGAACTGGAGAAACATTTCCCTTGACTTCAGAATTATAAGATAGATTTTTTTTCACTTATACATTATGCAACCATTCTTCCTCAATGAACATTTACTACTCTGAGATTTTCAATTAAATTGGTATTAGTCAATTCTGATTGTTTAAAAATCCATTCTGTGCATAGAATTTACTATTAAATGAATTTTTGACAATTTTTGGTTTGACAAATACATTTCCCTGACTAAGGAGAAAATCAAGTAGGACCTCATTTTTTTAATGTTAACTCCTTGATTTTCATTGAATGAACAAACGAAACTAACAGAAATCCTAAATCTAGAGCCACACCATCGTTATATTGTTCTCTTACCTTCTTTCGCAGGTGGAATGGTTGGAGGAA